GACCAACTTCAAAGGAAAGGTATCCCTATTCCCAATAGGTGTGCCATGTGTTTGAACCATGAGGAATCAAATAACCACCTCTTCCTCCACTGTAATGTGGCCCATGAGATTTGGAGTCTCCTCCTTCAACTCTTTCGGGTTCTTTGGGTCTTACCCCCGACTGTGAAAGATCTTTTGGAGTTAAACTTGGCTGAGCATAGGCCGAAAGCTGGTAGAATCATTTGGAGAGCTACTGTGGCAGCAACAATATGGACCATCTAGATTGAAAGAAATGGCAGTATTTTTAAGGGAGAGTCCACCCCCGCCTCTCGGTTATTCCTGAAAGTTACCTCCTTAGTAACTTTCTGGGCAGCTACCCTGGTTCAAAGGCATTCCTAAGGACTCTTTCTACCGGAATTGGGAGCATATTTTATTCCATAACCCAAAGAAAAACAAAGATTTTGTTGCTTGGACGGCTCCTCCCCAAGGAACTATTAAACTTAATTTTGACGGCTGCTCACTCGGCAATCCTGGGCATGCAGGGATAGGAGAGGCTTTAGAGACCTTCAAAATGTCCTCTTCTCCATCTCTGAATACATTCGGTTACATGACTCGCAGTTCACTGAATCTATGACTCTCCTTAGAGGCATTCAAAGTTTTGATCGGTCCTGGGGTCAGTTTCTCAGTTTCTTGGGCTTCAGCTCCTCCCCCTTGGTATCTCTTACCCATTTATGACGAAATCAACTATCTCTGCAGGGATACGCCAATGTTATGGAGGCATACCTCAAGGACATCGAACGGGTTCGCCGATCTACTAGGTAAGGATGGAGCCAGAGCCGGCGTTGAAGACTAGTGGTGTTATGGGTTTTTTGCGGAGCTCTAATGGGAGGGTTTATGGGGGTTTTTGTGGAGATCTAAGGGACTGTGCTTTTTGCTTGATTCTCTCCCTCGCCTCCTTTGTATCTTTTTTGTACACTAACTCTTTACTGTGTAAGGGGACTTCTTATAACCCCATTTTGTTTACGGTTTTTTGACCCATTTTTTACCAGAAGCCCTATCGTTTAGGCACTCCTGCTCTGTCTGTCTCATGTATCTATCCCTCTTTCTCAATACAAACGTTAACAGTTATCAAAAAAAAAACTCTTTGCAACACAACAGTCAACACTTACCCCAAAAAAAAAAACTTTTCTTTTTCTTTTTTTCTTTTTCTTTGGTATCCCTCCCTACCCTATCAAAAGAGCAAGACAACAATGATTTTGATTCTAAGTGAGAAAGAAGGGGGCCATGAAAAATACAAACAAAGTTGGTTAGAAAAGAGTGATTCAAGATAGGTAGCTCAAAGCTCATGTTAAACAAAGACTAGGATTTCTCAGTGTTAGGGGGTAGGACTATCAACAACAACCCCCCCCCCGAGTCACTAATAAAGAAATAAATAAATCCCCCCCTTAAAAGCGAGAAAAAAGACAATGGCCTTACCTGAGGCCATTTTTTGCCCTCGTAAAGGTGACTCAAAAGGGGGCACTAAGCGGCCGCATAGACGCTGCTCGACGCTAGGCCACCCAGGATAGGGGTGGGTCTCCTCACCGGAGGCGAGGTAGCTAGGCCCCGGGCTGCCTTAGGTGGGCACCAAGGAGGGCCAGGTACCTGCTTTTTAAAACACTAGAAATGGATGGCATAAATCTAGTGGTCCAAACATTGATGATCCAAAGAACATTTATCAAGTTAATGCAGCCTAAGAGAATTCCCTTGTTGAGGGTCTCCAAAAGTTTAGAGAACCTTCATAGACTAACCAGGAAGTGCACCCCTCGGTTACTAAGGCACTCTAGCATGGGCATACCCTTTTGGCACTCTTTTCATTAGGCTGAACTATTGGTCCAAGGGTTGTATTGTAATCCTCATATGATTACATGATAGCAGATATTGGCACTAGTAATAAGTTAAGGATGGATGGATCTGAACTAGGGGAGAAATTCATGGAAACCCGAGTGTTCTGCTCTAATACCAAAGTTACAACTGTTGCTAAAAACAATTTCTCAGACAAAGCTAATGGCCCCGTAATACAATCTCTTACAATGGAAAGAAAAAGAAAGACCAAGTAAAAACATCAAATATGACTACTGCACCAAAAACAAAAGAAAATAATGCCTCCAATGTAATCATCTGATAACACCTGAATCTCAAAAATGTTTGCCCTTCCTCATGTAGAACATGGAAGGAGACACAACTGACAATATCATAAACCTCTCTAGAATAATAAGAACTAAGGAGATATAGACTCCACACACATCTACACATGTCACTCATGGGCATATTATCAAAATTAATTTTGTTAGTAGCATTTACATGTAATCCATAGTACACAAATAGGAAGAATATGTATTTGCAATAAACAAAAGGCTACAGGCTAAATATGTGGAATCGCACACAAAATACAGGCAAACTAAATGCAAGCCCACCACACAAATAGTCTCAAAAATATTTAAGTAGATGTGGAGCACGGATATGTCTGTCATGATTCAGGAAAATGCCAAGGCAAGTTGACAATTCGAAGTATAATTATATTCCTTGTGCCATTTGACTGTTCAGTCCAATTTTCAAAAATATGAAGCCCAGCCAGAAGTCGAATCTTGGAAAAATGACTTAAGTCAGCAAGTTGAGTTTGAAGACGGAAAAAGGTTTGCAAATTTTTTATTTTTATACCTAACAAAACAAAAAGGCCCCAAAAAAGTTGGGATTGTATTAAATTGGCCACCCCCAAAACCAACTTGAATCAGGCAACTCAGGTTGAGTCTGTCGACCTTTTAGCACGGGTTCTGGCCTAACCCAAAATTCCAAATCCATAGCGCTGCGGCACTGGCAATACACCATTGTCGCTTCATAAATGTATTGGAAGATTAGTTATCTGGTAGCGTTTTGATGGAATCCACCAGGCCACAGGCCCCATGGCTTTCATTGAATTAAATCCTTCATGAGGCATTATAATGTCCTATGTGGTCAATGTGATATTAAACTTCCTACTGAAGATAATGAGAAATTCAAAAGAAATGAAAAACAAATAAATCATGTTGATTAAATACAAAAAAAAAAAGTTGATCTAGGTATTCCCTGGCTTTTACATTTGGAATCATATATTGAGAACTTATATGTGTGTGAGTGTGTGCATCCAGCCCATGGTATGCAATAACTAGAAACAAGAGTAGTTCCCCCATGGTCAAAAGGTAAAGTCCCTCTTTCTTGTGATCAGTGCTGAAATTGCACACTCATCTCATTGTGCTTCAAGAAAGGCATTTGCATGGCAGACACAAACCAACGCATGGGTCAAGATTTTCCCCTGATTAGGCTGCAAATGAAAATGAAACTGCAATTATTATTATTTTTAAATGCAGATAGTTATCTGTTGCATTTCCATAAATTGCATCCAGATCATATTGTTCTCTGGACCTGTTTGGCTGCCATGTCCCCCAAATCTATTCACTCAACTCCATGGTCTCTGATCCATAACCTTCTCACCTCCAGCAAGAATGGATTCCATTTCCTCTCTCTCTCTCTCTCTCTCTCTCTCTCTCTCTCAATACTCCTTTTCTCAGTTCATTGTCTCTCTCTCTCTACATTGTCTCTCTTCATTCTCTCCCTCTATTGGTATTTAAAGGTTGGTGCTGGCCTCTGGGCCTTCCTCTCTTTACCTTTTTTTATGCTGTCATTGATCATTGGATTTGGTATTTCACAGCCGTGATTCTTTGGAGATGCTTTCTACCCATCAGTTTCCATTCCATTGATTGAAATTCAAATAAACAAGGTTCAAAGATAAAGTGGAAAAGACAGAGGATTTCATTAGTCGTAATATGTTATGAGCTTCATTGCTTTCGATTATCAAGAAAAGAGAAAAAGGACAACACTTAGAACTTAGAATCACAAAAACAAGCCACATCCCCACAATCCACAAATATGGCCCACAAACTCTTCAGAACTCCCTAACCTTTCATCCATATAGCTGCCATTACCCTAACCCCAACCTAATCAGACCCCAACTTCTCCCCCTCTCTGAGATGACTTCTACTTGCTCTCCCCTTGCTTCTTCTCCTTTAATGGCTCCTAGCGCTACAAAAGAACCTAATTTCTGCAACATAAACACTCCACTCTTCCAATCCACTTCAATAGAGTTCTCCAAAAACCTATGGCATCTGGCCCCTCCCCATTCGCAGGGAAGTTTTAGAGAGAGAAAGCTAGAGAAAAAAAGAGAAATTCTAGAAATAGAGAGGCAGAGAGAGGTAGTTTGAAAAGAGAGAATTGGGTGCCTTGAGACCACACAACCCCAACAAACAAATGACTGAGTTCTGGAGATGAAAATAGGAGGTCAGGACATCTTTGTTTTTTAATTTGTGGTTCGGCCTATTATTTGCAAGGGCATCCAAACATGCCACAAACTTCACTTTTAGTTTTCAACTTTACAAACGAACCAACCATCAAAATGGATGCACTCAAGCCATAGTATGCATCTGCTACCAACCCCAAGGAACATGTCTATCTATTAAATTCCAAACAGGAACCATAAACTATACAATAAGGCAAGAGGCGCCTTCATGTTAATGCAAATTGAAACTCATAGAAATAAAAAGGTGAACCAGATGAGACCCAAAAAAAAAGAAAAAGAACTGATGCCTGTTGTCTATGCCCAGGAAAAATAAGCACCACATGAGACAGAAAATGTTTCCCATAAATATATTGACTAGTAAAACTAGTAAGGCCAATAACCATTTTTGAGGACTGATTCAAACATTGGCACAAATTTACAACAGCTGCCCAAAATTCCCCATGGTTTGGCCAATATGTGTCGTGTAAAACGAGAAGAAAGATACGTGAATGCGATATAAGTTCTAGATGTAGCACAATAAAAATTTTATTGGTTTTTATGAAATGAAATTCATAGTGATGCACAGAGATAGCAAAACAAAATAGATGCTGAGCATTTCATTATGTAGAGAAAATGACATATCTTCACGATTGAGCTCAGGATTACAGACCGCATTGTGGAATCTCAAGAAATTTGTTGGGCAAAATGTTCCCATATGCTGCCGTGACACAAAGTTCAGGTTTTATAGCCCTCAAATCAGACAAAAATTTCTCCTGCGTGACAACAAGATAGCATTCGGAAAAAACTCCTAAAGCATATGACACTTCAGGAAACGAGGAATTTGCCCTTTAGAATGCCCATCAATGAATAGCAATCCATGTAAGAATGAAACAAATCACTAGCACACTGGCAACAAAATTATTAACATGCTGAAGGAAAAAAATAAAACCAAGAGCCTACAAGAGGTTAGACAAATTTTTCAACAGATGAATACAACAAATACAAATCTAATTGTACAACAAATTTCAGACCAATGACTTGGTCCCTTTTAGCCACCAGTAAAATCTTTAAAGAGTCCCTACCCTTGGGTCTTTTCTGCATCTGACACGGTTCTAAGTTTGATATGAGTTTTCATTCTCAGAAATGCTTCTTTGGAAAACTCAAGCAGTCCCTAGAGGTGCAGGAATGTAAAGAGAAGAAGGAGCTGCTTATCGAATAATCAAAAAATTAATAAAAGAATTAGAGAACACAATGGTGGAACCAAGAGGGAAAAATATGCATTGAACACCCTTGTTTCCTAAACTATTGGCCACGTAGTAAGGGTGTACTGCAAAAGTAATGCCAAAAGCTTGATTCCCAGCTTAACATGCAAGGAAAAAAAAAGGGATAAGGCATCAATTCATAGGCATTGAACTGGCTGAATGGTAGGGGCATACTGCAAAGGTAACACCAAAGGTTTAACTCCCAGCTTACCTATACAAGGATAGAACGAGAGTTCTCAATTGATAGGCTTATCCTTCCCATTAGTGACCAAAAATGTTCCAGAGAACAATTCATAGGCATTGAACTGGCTGAGTGGTAGGGGCATACCGCAAAGGTAACACCAAAGGTTTAACTCCCAGCTTAACTATGCAAGGATAGAAGGAGAGAGATCTCAATTGATAGGCTTATCCTTCCCATTCGTGACCAAAAATGTTCCATACAATTCTCTGGCACATAGATTCTCACAGGATTGGGCTAAAAAGAGCAGTGTGTTTGGATTGCATGCATGTAAAATAAAGGTTTCCCGATATCCCCGTAAAATTCAGGAATATATCAAAATAAGCCAACAAAGATGTTCACTATTGATATATTCACATGCTGCCAAATCGGATACCAAAATGGATGCTTACTTTCCATATTTTCTGCCCTAATCACTATCTATTCTATACAAAATGAATTCCAAAAGCCATCGCTCATACAACTGTATATAACCTCTTCATTTCCTTATTACTTTCCAAGACAACCATAAATATGAGTAACCTGCTTTTAAGTTAACCTTCAAATGGATTGTTCCCCAGCGGAAAGTCAGAAATGTATTTAGCTAGTGTTGTGAATATGCTAAAACTAGTACATCAAGTCTTCATTTGGTCCAATACAACGTTTGGGGTCCTCGAAATGTTAGATCTAAACTTGAATCGTGTTTTTATATCACCTTTTACGAATGACTTGATCAGAGGTGTCACAATATTTCAATAATTCAATGTTTCAACAAAATAGTGAAAACACAATGTCACAAAAAGATATCCTTCATTTGAAATATCAATTGCCATCACAGGCTCAGTTGAAAGAACATGGAGGTAACATGTTTTTTTGATATTCAGGAGGCATGCTCCCCACAAAACTATGTAATATCCCAACATAATGCACGAAAAGAGATGTTTATGGGAGTTACGGTTATCAAATTCAAATGGATACAACGTAGAGTTGAATGCAAAGTGTTAAGCTCATGAGGGAGAGCTTTATCCGATGGTAAGCAATATAATTGACGAGCACCAAGTTTAACTTCACTCTATACGCGACACATGCATTATCTGCATTGGGAGCCAGCTACTTATGCACCACAAGAATCGCATAATAATTCTCGATAGGATCCTCTAAGACATTCAATCATCTCCAATATTTCTTTTACTTTTTTTTTTTCTTTTGACAAGTGACAGTGATTATTCTATTCATCTGATCTTGAATAAGCCTACCTCATGTAGGTTTCTTTAGGCGATATGTTTGAATCAGTACAGGTCTGCTAGAGGCTTCACAGAGGATCAAGAAAAACTCGACTATTCCATCTTTAAGCCTTCAAGGTATATGGATTTGCAATACTGATTAAAATGATCTTGAATTTCCAAATATATTCCATATTCAGGGAATATAGATTTCCAAATCACAGCAAATTTCCATGTACAAAACAAGTAAAAGAAAGAGATCAAACCACCCTTATCATCATCATCCAAGCATTATCCCAATTAGGTGAACAAAAAAATAAAGAGATCAAACCATGGTGAACAAAAATATTCAGTATTGAAGTTAGGTAAGAAACATCATATAATATGAACAATGTAGAGATGTGCCACAACTTCTCAAATAAATGTCTTAAAAGGCCATCAACAATGAGCATACCTCCCCAGCTCTTTCAGGCGTAAAAATGAGATTGTTAGGGAAGCCCAAGTCTAGAGCATGTTGTGCAACAGGGGAGGGCATTAACTTTTTCCCTCTGTGCCTTGCAGAAGGTGGCTGGGTAACAATTGCTGCAAGCTAACATGCAGATCACACCAATTGCATCAAGCTAAAATACAAACCATATCAATCCATATTTATTGCATACATAATACAAAACCTAATAAGCATTCTGATAAGCTTCATAGTAAACAAGATTTCCACTGATTAGTACAAGGAAAATTGTTTCATGCGAGCTGGACCGCATTTCTACAATATGCAGTCCAGAGGTATAAAGCATCTATCTTAAAGATGGATGCAAATAGGTGGTCCATCTAAAAACAAGTGTAACTAACAGTCCAAATATTTTCTTAATATATTATTTCTAGTTTCCAAATATATTTTTTTCATATTCATGATCTCCATGTTTAGGATCAAATTATATTTAAAATATATATTTATTGCCAAGCCCGCATTTCTACAATATGCGGGCTGGCCGCATGGAAACCATGTCCTTAGTACAAAGGATTCAGAGAAAAGGTCCAACAGATCTTACCAAACCTTAGGAAACAACAATTCACCATGTAAGTAATATGCATGAATATTATCAAGATAAGTTATTATCATGAAATCATCGACAAAACTCAAATCTTGAAATGCTCCACAAAACAGTAAAATTATCCAAATGATGATTGATGATCCAAAATGATGATTGATGACCATGTGACGTTGAGAACTGCATGTTTTCAATATTTCATGATTAAAGGTAATATTACTTATGCAGAAGTTTTCCATAACGGTACAAGACAGAAACTAATTAATGAAGCACAAGACTACAGGATACCAGATGAGTGTCACACACGATGAACAATTAGAGAAACATAAATCACTACTTCAAAAAGACCGAATCTAAAACATTGAGCATCTTATGCTGTAGACGATATTTTCTGATAAGTAACAGTGTATTGATAAGAAAATAAGATAGATCAAGTAGCACTTGACACTGCAAAGAAATGGGAAACTACATATCAAAGGGAGGGAGTTGTACTGTAGACAAGTTAAGCCTCACAATATGTTCATATTTTGTACTACTAACTACAGTCAAATTGCTTATCTTTCCCTGTTAAACCTCATTAGTCCTACATTCTCAAAAACCTCATTAGTCCTAATACCACTGGCCCAAATGGAATATCCTAGGTGCCAACGAACAATTAAGTCATACAGCAATCTACCATGATAAAACCCTAGATTATGGATCTGTCCTCTCATAGAAGCATACAAGTAATAATATGCTATGAGTGTTCGATGCATATAGCAAACCATGCTTGTTTCATCCATATAATCACAATATATTTATTTATCAACTTTTTTGAGAAAGTTTTTCAACTATGTTATTTATAGTCACAAATCCTAACAGGTTACTAGATGGTTAATCATAACACATCAAGTTCCTGACAGTTGCATCCCTATTCAAGATGACAAGTCATACATGCCCAATGTAGATTAGAAGTTATATTTTCCATCAAAAAAAATTTATAGCCTCCCATCTAGAAATGTTGACAGTAATAGCCCGTCACCAAGTTTATTAAGCTTGATGAGCACCAATACAATGCAATGTTTTTAGACTCAGCTCAGGCCTTGGACTTGGCCCGAGCCAAGTAATTCAGCCGGGTAATGTATAGGGACTAGAATTTTGAAAAATTCGAAGTACTAAAAAGTAAGATAAAAACTTTAAGTGAAATAAAAAACTCAAACAATATAAGGAGTTTAAATAAGCTGAAAAAAATTTAAAAAATATATACAGATTTAGAATAAATCGATTTACGATTGGAAACATTTCAGAAAAAATCTTTAAAAAATAAGAATTAAAATATATGGAATTTGACAATAAAAACCCATAAATCATTGCAAAACATCTCCAAATTACATATCTAATTTCCATACATTGATCCCACACACTTATATAATTTTTCATTTTTTTATTTTTGAAATACCCCAAGTAGTACCAGAATACACTTGGCCAGAAGCCAAGTCCGACCGGGCCGATTAGTTAAAAACTTATCAAATGAATTCATAAACAATTTCAAAACTTATCATACCAGAGACCATTAGTAAATATTGTTAAAAAAACATAGAAGTTCGACCATACGTATATACAAGTAATAGCCTTCATATGACATTATAAACAATCAAATACTCGACAAGAATGATAACCCATCAATTCAAGTTGGCCCGATTTGTACAGCTTAGTTTACACTGCAATATTTTGTTTATTGCTCACAAATGTCTCTTGATTAATGAATTGATTCTGTTCAAGTTCATTTTCTCACAATTGCCCCCCATTTAAGCCATTGACTCACTTCAAAAATGTTCCCTTTCCCCCATTTAAGCCATTGACTCACTTCAAAAATGTTCCCTTTTCAAATGTAATCAAGAAAATAAGCCATTGACTCACTTCAAAAATGTTCCCTTTCCCCCATTTAAGCCATTGACTGACTTCAAAAATGTTCCCTTTTCAAATGTAATCAACAAAATTGAAGCAGCAACAGCACAGTTCTATAAAATCGAGTCTGAACACTCTCCCAGGGAATCTAATCGCCATCCTTTACCAAGCTCCAGACATCAATGATCCCACAGAGGGCTTATAAGAATAAATGGCGAAAACAGTACCTCGAAAGTGGAATCGGGCGCTCGAGATGCATGGAACAGCTTATCCAAAACAGATGCAGCAACCTAAAACATTGAGCCACAAATAAAAGATTTAGAGAGTGTTAGAATGTGTGTCAGTGTAAGAAAGACGGAAAGCTTTTAAAGGACTGTTCCTAAAGGAAGAGAGAGGAAGCTAGGTTATCCAGAAACAAAGAGAAACCAAGGACTGAAATAGGTAGCGAGAGAGAGCATAGTAACCCAGGTGTAGAGAGAGAATTGAGTTGAGAGAAGAGGATATATACAGGAGGGGAGCCAAGGAAGACGAGCTGCTTCTTCCTGGCGGTCTCGAGACCAGCAGAGCCACAGTAACAGCAGAAGCGAAGGAGAGAAGAAGGCGAGTAAAACTGCATCATATGCATTGTTGATTTGTTTATTTATTGATATCAGAAACTCGTAGAGAGAAAGAAAGAGGTCAGAAATGGTCTCTATGGAGATGATAAACAACAGCGGCCATTATCCCATGTACAGAGGAGAGGCAGTTGCAGCAGTTTGTGCTTGTGCCACTGCTACTCTCGACATGCCTTATTTGCGGTTTATACTTTAGCGAAAGTGTTACATACTATCATAAGAGTATACTGTTCATTTATTCCGTTGGGATAAAAGCCGACTCTAGTAAAAAGAAAGTTTGCAATTGCATCCACCCAACTTTACATCCGATGGTGATGGGTATTATATATATATTTAATATTAAAAAATTTATTTTTTATATTCATGATCATTTTAATCAATCCAATTTTTGGATTAAAAACTAGTTTTAAGATAGATTTAAAACCTAGGGAAACCCCATCCCAGTAATAATCCTTCCGCGTTGCTGATTAGAGAGAGAAGAAAGGATTTCTGCCAATTTCTAGAAATGCTAAGAGAGCTCTGACTCTGCAGAGCGTGCTCCTTGAGAAGAGAGAAATAGAGAGTGCCCCCAATTTTACAGAGAGGGGCTGTGGAGAAGAGAAAGAATCACTTTGCCCTAGGCGAAGGAAATGGTGAAATTCTCCATGGAGGTGGCTAGCGAGCCATTCCCAAGGAAGAGGAGGCTCTCAGAAATTTCAAAAGAAACTGAAGACCAATTCATTAGCAGCAAACCTATATCTGTAACAATCGACCCTGATATCTTTGATTGTGCCATTTGCATGGACCCCTTATCTGGACACGTTTACCAGGTATCAAACCAGACATCTTTACTGTCTTGAATTTAACACTGCTATGTAATATGATCTTCTGTTACAATACAATATACTTAGTATGTGTACTTGCAAGTCAGCAATACCATTGTTTTCTAACTTGATGGCTTAGAATCCCAATTAGAAGTTCTATATGCTATTAACAATACCAATCATCCCACATATTAAAAAAAAAAAAATTTATTAAGCACCTCAGGTTGCTCATAGATTGTTATGCCCAAAGGGGACCATAACATATTGCGATAGTATCAGTTCATCACTTCTGTACACTACACCTTTCAAAAGAATCACTTCTGTGCACTATATATTCTGTTGAGTTCTCAGTTTTTATAATGTTTTTCCACAAACTCTACTGTACTAATATTAGATTTCTTGTGCTTATCAGCAACAATAGCAACAACAACAACAACAACAAAAATAACAAGTTTCTTATGTTTTTAATATTTTAATAGCTCACATATATAGTTTTATTGTCAATTGTGTTTGAGGTACAACAAAAGGAACATATGCAATCATAGAGATCTTACCTAGAGCGCCAACTGGACAATGGTAATGAAGGTTTTAGACTGCTCAGCCGCAGAACTCGGCCACTAACCTGGCTTTGTTACTTTCGGCTAGTCCCAAACTCCTAATCAATTTGCCTGAGTCTATGCCAAGCCAGGAAAGAGCAAAATCAAAAGAATAATAAAAAATCTGGAAATTTTGCTAAAATTCAGGAAAAAAATATAGAAATGGATAGACAAGAGGAAAGCAGAAAAAAGTTTCAAAAAGAAAAAAAACATAAACTGGTTAAATATCATTTTATCAAAACGAAATATAAATTAAAATCACAAAACCTTAGAAAAATTAGAAAACTAATAATAATTCAGTAATAATTGATTTAATCAAATATTTGATCTAGTATAAATATGTTCTAATTATTTTTAATCAACTGCTGTTTCCACCTAGTTGGGGGTGGGGGGCTTAGGCAAGGCACACTGCCAAGCCTGAGTTACTCGGCTGATTGAGGGTGTCGTCTGAGTAGTCAAATATTGATGGTAACAACGAACATCAAACTGCAATGCTCAAACAAAGAAGACATGACTAATGAGTTACTCCTCCTCGCGATGCTAGAAAACCTTAATGAACATTCTGATAGAAAATTTATGCAGTGTACCATTTTTTTTTCTCTTGTCAATGACCCTAAGTAGGATGAACATCCTTCTAGGCAACCTAGGACTCCATCTCCTCTATTTCCACATTGTTCATATTCAATCCGTATTGACTTGGACCTGACCAGGTCCAGGTCCACCCCCACCCCCACCCACTTGCTCTGTCACGTTTGGGCCTGACCTGACCCACCCCATTTATAACTCTAGTTATAAAATGGGGTTTATCCTTTGTAAAATATCGCATTCATTTGGGAAAGAAGGTGATATCTAATTTACACCTACTGAACCGAGTTTCATTGGGACCAATCATAACTATTGTTCTTCTTTTTTTCTTTTGAATAGCGAAAACAGAAGCATTGGTAGTGTGTTTGTGTGTTTTGGTGCATGCATGAGCCCCACCCTCAGCTAAAGCCTATAGACCTTCTATATTCTTCTAGTTTGTGTAAAAAGCATGAACCTAGGAAAAAGAGTGCTCACATGAAAAATTAAGTTAAAATGTTGTTTGGTTCTGCCAAAAGCTAGCATCTACAAGAGCCTTGAGAAAAGCTATTTTATAAGTTTGAAACATAGGTGGTGACCTAGCAGTGAATATCCCTTGAATTTTATGATTTTTGAATTTCAAGGCTACTAAAATCTCTTAAATGGACTAGAAAGTTATTGTGCCCCCAAAAGATAGTAACAAGTCAAATTAAAAGATTCCTTCACAACAGTTCATTGGATCAGCTTTGCCAGAGGTCAACTTCCAAGATTTGAAGTTAAGGTCTCATGTTTGACTTAAAGATATTTTCCACCCTCCAAGAACTTAGAAACTTTAAGGAACTTAGTTTGAAGGTTCTAAGAATGGAAAAGTAAATGGCTTGGCCCCGCTCTTACTAAAACCCTCTGCACCGCCTTCCCCTCCTCCTCCTCCTCTAAATACTTGTAAATCCATTTCCACCCCTAAAACTGGATTTGTCTCTCCTAAAACGGTGCAATTGTGATGAATCTTGCATCAACTGAAATGGATGGGCTGTATCTGATATTGAGATGGCTTTCAAGATGCGCCATTTTTTAGGCTCCAGATCTCCCTTTTTAATTATTTATTTGCTTATATATTTTCAGGATCTTGATCCTGGAGGTACAAAGGATGGGTTTCAGACTTTTGGGTCCTCAAGCCATCTCTTTGATGGCATGCCAAAACTGGGTGATGAGAGTAAGTAAAAGGAAACCTTAGATTAAAGGGTGACAAGTTTTAAGTAAAGAGAAGGCTGAAGAGAAATTAAAAAGAAGAAAGATAAAGAGCAAACCATAGTTGCACAGTCTTTGGAAACAGTGAAAGTTCTTCCTGTTCTTCTTTAAATAGACTTTTGAGGCGACCCGGTAGAAAATGTGCTAATTGCAGAATATCATCGGCAAAAACAAAGAATGCAAACCAGAAAGTAATACTTTAAGTCACTTAAGTAAGGCCAGATACCTTTATTACCTCCTAGTTTTTTACTCCGCAGGGGAAGCTTTCTGAGTTTTGGCATCTATGAACTTAAGATGGTTTTAATCTCAAAGGTCCAAGCCTTGGAAGATTGCAAGAGAGGGTCGCTTTATAGTGAACAATTCTGTTCCTGAGCCTTTGACTAAAGAAACGAATATCATCCATGTCATGTCAAAAAGCCATATCGGTTTTGCAGTGTGGAATACATCCAATCACTAAAAATTGAATTCAACAAGTTTACTGCATAACAGTTTTGAAGTGCAAATTACATCCATGTGTTATCTAATCATGTCAAACAGACATGGGTGAAACTATGCAGTTAAGGGGTAATATGTTATACATCAAATATCAAATGTTGTTGTGCAAGTTCAACCTATGCCTCTTCAGAGTTTGCCAATCTTTTGACCAATTTTGTGCTGTGGTTTTCTTTTGTGGTCTTTGTTCATTACAAATATTGACTTGTGTTACACATTGAAAGTTTTTAAGTTTCTAATCTATCGAAATTTCAGGTCCACTTAGTCTGTGGGCATTTGTCATCAGAAGTTCTATGTGGTGAAGGCAAATGAAAGTTACTTTGCATGAACTTTACTTGCTACTGGTAATCTACATTGTGGCATCAGTTTGACATTTGGCGATTTGTTTCTTAATGTTGGACCTAATCATTGGATTAGCAATTCAAGAGGCATTTCACAAGTCATTTGTGTCCTTAATCATATGCTGTATAATTTGTGCAGTATTCTCTGAAACATCTTCCTGGCTATGAAACTTGAACTATTTGGAACTTTTCTATATTGCCTTTAAACCCCATTTGATGTTCCTTTGAGTATTAAGACTGCCCAGGCCTAAGGTGGCACAGACCACACCCATTGAGGCTAAAATGCATTGGAACACCATGAGTAATCTGGTTTGCTCCAAATGGTGATAGAATATCAAAGGTTGGGAATGAGGACATGCTTAGAATATTGAGGTGAAAGCTGCTTTGTCTATTGGAGGACTAGGGGAATTTCAAGAGTGAAGATAAGAGGTGACGTCATCGCAGTGAGGGAAGGAGACTCAAAGTATAGGGCTGAAGAATAACTTCCAATGGAATACCAGGTGCAAGAAAGTTGGTCAGAATGAAGGACCTGAGGTAGGATTTCTATTTTTGTACAAGAAAGAATATTGTTTAACCAGTTAACATTCCAAAGTTTATCTGGGGCAATAGGAAAAGGAAGGTGCATATTCTGAATGTGACAAGGATTTCATTGTGGTTCAGTATGAAACTTGGTCTCTCTTTTTTCCTCCACATAGCTAGAGGCAATATTTAGATGGAAAATCCATTTTCAGAAGATGAGATACTCAAAACTTGTCATAGTTTGGCAACTTTAATGACTCCATGTTCTGTTGGCTTCCTGGCTTCTTTTCTTTGGGAACTTTTGGGAAAGACAATGATGACTATAGTGGAAAAGACAATGATGGGTATAAACTTTGGTATACAAGAAAGGATAATAATAGAAATGGCGTAGGCATAATAGTAGACAAAGATTTAAAAGATAAAGTAGTTAATGTCAAAAGAATAGGTGATAGGTTCCTATTAATTAAACTTGTATAAGGGCAAGAGATGATTAACATAATTAGTGTTTAAGCACCATAAGTAGGGTTAGATGATAGAATTAAGAGACAATTTTGGGAGGAGATAGATGGAATAGTCCAACATACCAAATGGAGAGAGAACCTTTTTAGGAAGGGACTTAAATGGCTATGTAAGGACGAATAGTAGAGGATATAAAGGGGTACTTGGGGGATATGGGTTTAGGCAAAGAAATGAGATGGGTGAGACTATTCTAGACTTTGCTATGGCCTACGACCTAGCAATAGCAAACATTTACTTTAAAAAGCGAGATGAACATTTACTAGCTATAAAAGTGGATCGCATAAAAGCCAAATAGACTTCTTCTTAGTTAAGAAGGTAGATCGACCATCATGTAAAGGCTGCAAGGTTATCCCAGGAGAGAGTTTGACTACCCAACATAGGCTCGTGGTTATGGACATTTGCTTAAAGGCATGGAAGAGAAGGGATGAAAGTAATGAGTGTCCAAGAACTAGGTGGTGGAATTTAAAAAAATGAGAAAATAGACTTATTTAAAAATAAATTAGTTGAAGAAGAAAAATAAGAAAATTAGTTGAAAAAGGAAAATGGAACTCTGAACATAATGTCAATGTAATTTGGAATGAGATGGCTGACTGTATCAAGAAAATGGCAAATGAAGTTTTAAGAGAATCTAAAGGAAAAAGAAATTCCGATAAGGAAACTTGGTGGTGGAGTGATGAGGTCCAGAAGGTCATTAGCTAAAAACGATCATGTTATAGAACTCGGCAGTGTAATAGAAATGATCAAAACTTAGAAGAATATAAAAATGCTAAGACAACGTTGAACAAATAGTAAGTAAAGCGAAAATTAAGGCATATGCTAATCTATACAATAAACTGAGAACATGAGAAAGTGAAAAAGATGTCTTCAAATTAGCAAAATAAGAGAGAAAAGTGTAGGGATCTAAGGGTCTTGGTGAAGGATGACAAAGACAACGAAAACTTAGAGAGTTTATTTTAAAAAATTATTAAATGACGAACACAATGGGAAAATAGCGATAGAAGGAATTGTTGGTATAAATGAGGGTGGAGGTCATAGATACATTCGTAGGATTAGGATGTCAGAAGTGAAAGAAGCTTTGAAAATGATGAAGATAGGAAAGGCTTTAAGACCAGATGGTATCCCGATAGAGGTTTGAAAGTGCATGGCATTGATTGGATGATGAAGCTATTCAACAAGGTGCTGAGAACAAAGAAAATGTCAAACGAATGGAGGAAAAGTATTGTGGTACACCTATTTATAAGAACAAAGGAGACATACAAAATTGTGTAAACTATCGAGGGATCAAGCTAATGAGCCATACTATGAAGTTCTGGGAGATAGTGATTGAGCAACGACTAAGGCATGAAACGAGTGTATCTGAAAACCAATTTGGTTTTATACCAAGAAGGTCAACAATCGAGGCTATTTTCCTACATGGACAACTGATTTAGAAGTTTAGGGTGAAGGGAAAAGACCTCCACATTGACTTTATTAACCTAGAAAAAGCATATGATAGAGTACCGCAAGATTTGATTTGGAGGGTGTTGGAAAAGAAATGCGTCTCCAGACACTACATCGACTTGGTGAGAGATATGTGCGATGGAGCGCTAACTAGTGTGCAAACAACTAGTGGTGAGACGAGTGAGTTTTCAATGACAATAAGTCTACATCAAGCGTTAGCATTGAGCCAGTGCCTCTTTGTCTTAATTATGGACGGCTTAACTAGGACCTGCAGGATGAGGTACCGTGATGCATATTATTCGTAGATGACATAGTTTTGATCGATGAGACCTGAAATGGCGTCAACACAAAGTTACAACTTTGGAGGGATGCTCTAGAATCTGAAGGTTTTAAAATTAGTCGGACTAAGACAGAGTGTATGGAATGTAAGTTTAGTAGTAATAGGAGTAGAGAAGAGAAAATAGTTAAGATTGATGGTTAGGAAATACAAAATAGACCGCACTTTCGATACCTGGGGTCGATAATCCAGGAAATGGGAGAGGTTGAGGAAGATGTCGCATATAGAATTAGAGCCAGGTGGGCAAAGTGGAGATGTGCAACTGGAATTTTATGAGATCGCAGCAGGCCACTGAAGTTGAAGGGTAAGTTCTATAAGACGGTTGTGAGACCAGCTTTGCTTTATGAGGCAGAATGTTGGGCGGACAAAAAATAATATACCCATAAAATACGTGTAGCGAAGATGAGGATGTTGAGATGGATGAGTGGCAAGACAAGAAGCAATAGAATCCAAAATGAATCCATTCATAAAAGTTTAGATGTGGCACCAATAGGCAATAAGATGAGAGATATTATACTTAGATGGGCTAGCAATGTGTGGCGTCGACCCAATACAGGGCTTATTAGGAGGTGCAAGTTAGTTCAAGTGGAAGGATTGAAAAGGGTAAGGGGTAGACCCAAAAGGACGTGGTTGGAAATAGTCCGAAAAGATATAGGAACTTATGGCCTCACTGAGGGTATGGCCTTAAATAGAGCAGAATGACGTACCAAGATTTGTGTAACCAACCCCAATTAATTGGAGAAAGGTTATGATGATGATGAATGATGACTGTAGTGGATGCTTTCCATGATCTCTACTTTTAAGTAGGAGATCATGGTGGACATCACTGCAAATTTTTTATCTGTATAATAAATGGGAGTGGGTGAAGGACCTCAAGTCTTTTGCAAGCATCTTATTCATTTCGCTATTGGGCTCTACAAAGTGATCTCCATGGTTCTATTTAGATTTGCTTGATCTGCACATTTTTTTTAATTTTAAATTTCATAATTAGTGGTTAAAATAGACTTTCCAGCCATCCTAGGAATTTCCAGCACCAAAATTACATCTTTCGATAAAATTTTGAGGTGTATATTGTTTTTGGTTCTAAAAAGATTCCTCTGACCATGATATGGAAAATGGATTGTTCTATACTGGGTGCGATAAAGAATAAATCTACATCATGGAGTGCAAATTGTTTTTGATGATTGATGGTTGGTGATAAGTTTGCTTATTCATAGTACAGATATGCAATTTTTTTCTGCCTATCAATTATAGATGTGTGAGCTACGTGTATATTGTATGTATGTAAGGTGTATATACATGTGTATATGTATGTATGTATGAGTGAATGCTCGCATGTGTCCTTGTATGCATGTTTACACGCTCATATGTATGAGTAACATTCCAAAGGTCTCAAACTTGTGATTTGACCTGAATCTTTGGTAACTTAGTGTGAGAATGGGCACATTGCATGCTCCCCATGTCGTCATAAGCTTCAGAACTCATGCCACTCCTGTTTCAAACCAATCAACAACAGATGCCTGGCCATTGAGAAGGTCATAGACTCCATGAAAATCCTTTGCAAGTATGCATGCTATGGTTGCACTGAGATGATCAGCTTCTCTCATAGAAATGTCCATGAAGAGAATTGCCCCCATTTGCCATACAGTTGCCCAGTTGCAAATTGTGTCTTTCGTGGGTCGAGCTTGCACCTCTCCTTCCATTTTAACGGTGAGCATAAGGCTTCTGCGAGGTTCTTTAGATATGGTGAGTGGTTCACTCTGCTATTGGATAAAGAAGAGCCTATCTACGTTCTTAATGGGGAGAATGGTCTCTTGTTTATCTTGGATAATAGGGTCGAGTGTGTGGGGAATGTGTTTTCGGTCATGGGTTTTGGGCCGAGCTCTTTGGAGGAGGAGTATGGGTATGGTTTGACTGTTAGAAGCGGTCGTAGGTGTTTGAAGTTGGAGTCTTTTCCGAGAAGTGAAAGGCAGAGGGACAACGGTCTAATGGATTTCCTTGTGATTCCTTTGGAGGCATATTGTAATAAGGGGCAGCTCAAGTTGGAGGTCTGTATATGGAGTTTGAGTAATGGGAAAGATAGTGGGGTTTAGGCTTGAGAGTTTGGAGTACGATTGGCAACAGAAAAGAAAAGTCTCTCTCTCTCTCTCTCTCTCCACCACATTCTCATGCGTGTGCACAGATTTGGGCTTGGTGACCTGATTTATATGAGGGCAAACTTTGAGCCGTCTCTCGTATGTACAGACATGGGTTGGTAAGCTGGTCTGTGTGAGAAAAAACTTCGAAAACTCCCTCAATCAATCACCAACCATCATACGTGCAGATGCTCATGGTATTGGCAAACTGCTTTGTAAAGACGAGTTTTGGAAAAACTCTCTCTCTATCTCTCTCTCTCATGCAGACCACTCTCTGCAAGTTTGTCCCTCACGTTAACCAGTTTCTTGATGTATAACCGTCCCTCACGTTAACCGTTCAATAATGTAATTGCATAATTTGTATCTGTACATTAGTCTTGTGATGTGATCTACAAACCTATTCACTTGTAAATATACATGTAAATGTATCACAGGTTTTGTGCGTTATAGTTTTTATTTATATACTGTATATTCTCGATTGTTACAATGTGGATTCCATTTTTCATTATTTTTCTATAGAAAAGTATACAATAAAACCATTTTTATTTATTACATGGAGATGAATAGTTATCAGACTTCACATCATATGGTTCAAGGAAATTGTGATCAGGTCGCATAGTATTTTTCACGTTGTACCTTTCCATTATAAAAAGGATTGTATACTATGGGGCCATTTATCTTTATTACAAAGATGTCACAATTGCTACCATTCATTGATGTCAGCTGATGGCTAGGAGTGTCATATGGTTCAAGAATTTATTTTTTTGAATTTTGAGTCTAACCAATGACACATTCACAACCATATGATTGAAATTTGATATAAAACTGCTTTGTATTAAAGTAAATGGTCCCATTGTATAATTTTCCTCTAATATTTGGATATTGTCAAAATCTACCGTTTGGATTGTTTAATGACTAGGATACTTAAAATCAAAAAAATCAAAATCATGAAAATAACACTTACTTTTTCAAGATTTTATTTCTATACCAAAACCTGTTTTTTTACATTTCTAAGGCCCATGGATTTCACTCATTGGCTCCCTCGACCCGAAACATATAGAGCATTTGGCAGGTATAAAAATTTTAGAGAAAGAAAGTACCTAAATTTTTTAAAGAGAAACTATCTCAAAATTTTTAGTGAGAAAAACTATCTCAAATTTTAACTTTTAGATAGAAAAAGTATGTTAAAATTTTAGAGAGATAAAATATGTTAAAATTTTAAAGAGAGAGTACCAATTTTTTTAGAGAGATGAATTATCGCAAAATTTTAAAGAGAGAAACTGTTTCAAATTTTAACTTTTAGAGATAAAATATATTAAAATTTTAGAGAGAAAAAGTACTAAAAATTTTTAGAGAGAGAAAGTAGATGCAAATTTTTAGAGAGAAGCTATCTCAATTTTTTTAGAGAAATTGTTTTAAAATTTTTAGAGAGAGAAACAATCTCATAGTTTAATTTTTAGAGAGAGAAATTATATCAAATTTTAGAGAGAGTACTTAAAAAGTTTTAGAAACATAAACTATTTCAAAAAAAATTAGAGGGAGAAATTCTATCAAATATTAAGTTTTGGAGAGATAAAGTATTCTTAAAACTATAGAGAGAAAGTATTCTTAATCTTTTAGAGAAACTATTATAAATTTTAGAAAGAGAAATGGCCAAAAAAAAACTATCTCCAATTTTGAGTTTTATAGATAAACTATCTCGAATTTTGAATTTTAGAAAGAGAAAATATATTAAAATTTTAGAAATAGAAATTATATCAAATTTTAGAGAGAGAAACTACTAAAAAAATTTAGAGAGCGAAATTATCTCAAAATTTTTGGAGAGATAAACTATCGCAAATTTTATGTTTTAGAGAGACAAAGTATATTAAAATTTTCAGGCAATAAATTATATCAAATTTTAAATAGATAAAGTACATAAAATTTTTAGAGAGAGCTATCTCAAAAAAATTAGAGAGAGAAACTATCTCAAAATTTAAGTTTTAGAGAGATAAAGTATCTCAAATTTTAAACTTTAGATATATAAAGTATATCAAAGTTTACATAGACTATATCAAATTTTAAAGATAAATTATTTCAAAATTTTAGAGAGAGAAAACATCTTAAAATTTAAGAGAGATAAAACATCTCAAAATTTTAGAAAGAGAAAGTACATAAAAAATTTTAGAAAAATAAACTATCAAAAAAATTTTAGAAAGAAATTATTTCAAATTTTAGCTTTTAGAAAGAAAAAATATCTTAAAATTTGAGCAAAAAACTATATCATATTTTAGAGAGAGAAACTACTTAAAAATGCTTTAAGAGAGAAACTATCTCAAAATTATTGAAGAGGAGAACTATCTAAAGTTTTAAGTTTTAGAAAAAGAGCATCTTGAAATTTTAGAAAGATAAACTATATTAAATTTTAGAGAGAGTAAAGTACCTAAAAATTTTAGAGAGAGAAATTATCTCAAAATTTTTAGATAGACAATTTCAAATTTTAAAATTTGGATAGAATTTATATTAAATTTTAGAGAGACAAACCATATCAAATTTTAGAGAGAGAAACTATCTCAAAAATTTTATGGATACATTATCCTAAATTTTGAGTTTTAGAGAGAGAGTATATAAAAATTTTAGAGAGAAAAATTGTATCAAGTTTTGTTACCAAAAAAAAAATGGGCATAAAAGAGAAGGAATCCATAAATTTTGTGTAGTTTATCCAGATTTGAGGAATCCATGACAAAAATCCTTGATATTGAAAATCTATAGATTTTTTTGAATTTCAAATATCTAAGATTCCTAATTCCCCCTTATATAAACGGGCTCTTAAAAAATAATGAGTTTCCGAGCATTAGTCAACTTGCCTTATTTTTATTATAGTCTCCTTCAAAAATACATCTCATAGTAAGGAAAATAAGTGTAAAAATCACTTTTTAAAAAATTATTCATTTGTCAAAGCAAAGTGAAAAACGTCATAGAAAACCTCCCAATTTGTGCGCATCTTCTTTCTCAATATTACAGCCCCAGAATAATTTTCTTTTCAACTACCCCTAAGTTTATTCTTTTAAAACAAAATACCCCACATAAAACTTTCCATAACGTGACACCTAACAGTAGTTGAAAGAGAGTGAAAAACATGGCAATAGGGTATTTTGGTTTAAAAAAATGTCGGACTGCTGTACTTGGGTTGTGAAAATAATTTTGGGATTAATAGTACTTTTATCCAAACTCAAAAGTATTGTCGAGGATGCCTAGAGAATACAAAATTGGGGTATTCTTGAAAAAAATTTAAAAAAATTGAAAAGTATAAAATGAGACTACCTACCTTTAGTACAATGTGATTACATTAATCTTGACCATTAGATATTAGATGTGAAATTTAGTGGCTGCAATTATTTCATTGATTAAGCTCAACCTTCAAAATAAATTTTTTTGAACTTTATAGTACATCCAAACTATCAAATTTCACATCGAGTGGTTCCAAGTAATTTTGACCATCTACACAACCCCAAAAATTAATTCCTGTATTTTGCTTTTGTTAGTGTGGATCGCGAGGAGGCCGCAGTACGCTCCTTAAATCCCAAACAAAATGGTGGCCACCTCTGACCAATTCTCATACCGAAGGATTTTATAAAACTTGAAAGACTTCAAAACATATTCACCTCTTGATTGGATTGGACATTCAGTGGTCAATCTGGGAAGAGAGTCTGCTTTTGAGGTAATAGAAATTATGTAATATGAATTATTTTTACTTAAGAATGCAAAAAAAAAAATAGAAAATTAATTAACCGATAATACTTATATTGATAAATGGAAAAAACAAAGACATTATTCCTTTTCTGTTTTTCTTTTAATACTTATTTATAAGTAATAATATATTTATTAATATAATCAAGATATTTAAATTTATGTTAATAAATTGTAAATACAAAGAAGAAAAGGACGAGCAAAATAATAATTAACCACAATTGCAAATTTTAGAAATATAATTGCTTTCAAAAAAATAGTTACCCAAAATGCAAGCTACATTGGTAAATAAAAATAATTTAAATTAATAAATATAAAAAGAAAAAAATCCTTCTCCATTTTTCTTTATTCATTTATAGTTTCTTTCTACCTTTTATTTCTATCTGTACTTGTTGGTGATTTTCAAAATCCAAACCTAATTTGAAAAACAAAACAGGGAGAAGGAGAGAGGGCCTTCACTATCATGAAATAAATAAAAAATAAATAATACCAACATTATAATCAATTTTAACTGCAATAGATATCTTATTATATGGGTTATTGGTTACATGTACCATGCGACATGTTTTTGTATTTGTATCTTTTCTAATTTTTTATAATTCTATTTACTTACAAGTAAACAATATATTTACTAATATAAATGAAGATAATGTCAATTATTTAAAAATAACATAAAAAATAATAATACCTATATTGGTGAATACAAAAAAAAGGAATTCTTTCTCTTTTTTCTTTTTGACATATGATATATCAAGGTCATACTCTTAGTCAAACCATAGGTAAACCATATCCATTATTATTACTTCTATCTAAATAATATAATAAAATTATTTTTAAGAAAATAATTAGCTCAACATGTAATTATAAATCTCGAGGTGGGTTTCTATGCAGCCAAGCCCGCATATGTAGAAATGCGGCCCTCTTAATAAATCTATTTTTTAGATGAATATTTGGATTTAATTTTTAAGGACATGTACAAGAAGATCATGAATATGAAAATAAATAAATTTTAAAAACTATAACTAATCATTCTAGTAAAAAAACATTTGGACAGTTAGTTTCCATTGTTTTCAGATGAAACACCTCTTTGCAACCATCTTTACTATGAATGTTTTACACCTTTTGAACCTCATATATAGTTATATGGTCTAGCCCTCATAAAACAATTTTCCATATAATAATATTATTGCGGAATTTAAAATAGCATAGTTATTTTGTCATTTTGGTAATTTTTTTCTTTAGCCGTTTACACTTCTGAGCATATTGTGAATGTGCTCCCTCAATCAACGTACTTACTTAGGAGGAATTTTTCAGTCCGAAATATTACGAACTGCCTAAGAATCCCTAGATAATTAATTTCAAAAGAAAAGAACATTGAACTTGAGCCTTTTGACACTTGCATCTTGCCCTTCAAACTTGAATGGTCTTGAGACATATATGTTTTTTTTTTCTAGTATATGGGTAGTTTAATTTTGAAATCTTGTTTGCTGAGTTACTTTGAGAGTTTCATTAATATCATTTGTGTTATTATGATCAGAATTTATGCGAAGTGTACTTTTAAACTTCTTAGGGAATTTGTATTTAACTTTTCATTATTTAACTTTACAAATTCTTTTGTTATCTAATGAGATGTAGTGTTACATAAATGATTATTTTTGTTATCTAATGAGATGCAGTGTCACAGTGTTACAGAAATGATACAATGCATGTTGTGTGCATAGATAGAATGACAATAGGAAGAATCATAATTCGACCTATAAAAATACCGAAAAAATATGATTCAAACCATCTAATTTATTTATTAAATTATTGATAACTTATTCTAAATTTTTTTATTTTTTTGGCCATGTATCGATACGGAACCAGGTATTGAGAAAAACCAAACAACATTGTGCTTAAAACCAACTTTTATAAATACTAGAATCAACAAAACGAGGTATTGAGAAAAACTCAGGATTCGTGTATCCAATGACCCACAACGGACTATATCCCTAAACTAGAGGCTCCTAAAATTACCCCTGTAACGCGTTCTACCTGAGGAATTAATTAAGCACTATACTCGCGCGGGAGTATAAAATCGTTTGGCTTTTTCCTTTGGGAAAAAAGGGGGGCGGGAAACACAGTGGAAAGACAGAAGGGTCGATTTAGCGGGAAAATGAAAACAAAAATGTAGAGAGAGAAATAGTGTGCCGAGAGGAGAGTGCGTGTTTTTAGAGAGAGAGAGAAAGAGGTGGGGAGATAAGGGGTTAGCGGGCATGGGGATCCAAGGCCTGCTGAGGGCCATGAAGCCCTTTACAAAGCCTGTTCATGTGAGCAAATACACAGGGCAAAGAGTTGGGATTGATGCTTACTCATGGCTTCACAAAGGAGGTCAGCTCCCATCCCCACTTCCATTTATTTAATTTTGTTTTCTTTGCTTTATCCTTTCAATTCACAAGAAATTTATCATCTGTTTTTTGTTTATTTTTCTTTGGCAATTCGCCGGATTTATCGATTATTGATGGCGTTCTGGTATAAAAAAACAGCTTATTCGTGTAGCATGGAGCTATGTGTAAATGGAGGGAAGGGGAGTGAACTGCCATATTTGCAGTATTTCATGCACAGGATAAATCTGTTGAGGCATCACCATGTCACCCCAGTTGTGGTTTTTGATGGCGGGAATCTCACTTTCAAGTCTGCTACTGAAAACCAGCGCCAAAGGTATCATTCTCTGTCTATATTTTTACCATTTGTTACTTATACACCCCTCACCCCCTCCCTCTCTCTCTCTCTGAGCCAAATGGTTTTTCTTTGATTCGCATTTCACCTCTCTCTCTCTCTCTCTCAATATATCCATCAATGCATAAAATCACATCTTACGTCTTATTCTTCGTTGTCTTCTTCTTCTCTCTCACTCGAGTCTGAATGAAGGAGCTTTTAGTACAGTCTTTCAAGGATCACCTCACATGTCCCCTTTCTTTTTTGGATATCTCTTTCTCTCTAATTAAGGCATGGGGTTTTGTTAAAATGATACAGAAACAGGGAGGCCAATCTCGTTCTGGCCCAAAAAAGTTTGGAAAAAGGTGATGTTACCTCTGCCATTGAGTTCTTCCAGGTGAGACTTCTAACAATGGAAAATGATAATAATGCCTCTCTTTTTTCCCTGAAGAAATAACATCAGAAAAAGAAGTTGACATAAACAATTGACCCATACTGCCCTACTATCAAACAACGCAGGGCATTCTTCAGATGATAAAATGAGTGGGGCTCAATTCCACATCCATGGAAAACTGGCATTTCATTTGTTTTTAGTAGTTTATGTGCATATTTTGTTCCTCTCTTTGTTGCAGAGAGCAGTGTGTATCACTCCTTCCATGGCTCATCAGTTGATCCAGGCAGGTCCTTCTTCAAATCTTTTGAAAATTAATGTCATTTTCCTCATATCTAAAATAACAATCATCCTTTTTGTTCAACAGATCTTAAGAGCAGAGAAGGTGGAATTTGTTGTGGCCCCTTATGAAGCAGATGCACAACTTGCTTATTTATCGAGTGTGGGGAGTGATAAAGGAGGTATAGCTGCTGTCATCACGGAGGACAGTGATCTTCTCGCATATGGCTGTGAAGCGGTGAGAGCTCTCCAGTCAAAACCAAATCATCTTGTTCAAACTGTAAATGAGTAACAATACACACTCGATTCTTCTGTCAGCCCCCAAGTTTTCAAGTTTGGATAGATAAAACTTTAAGTTAAACTTGAGGCCCAATCTTGAAATGGAGACATTTACAAACATAAAACCTGCAACATGTGGTTTGGTGTTAATCCTACTTAATTTAAAACTTGAAAAACTTTACCAAGCCTGTGCTTTTCATAATAAAGCTTGTTTAGGGTTTTCTTTTGTAATGTTCTCTTTTGAAGCCCACTTATCCCCCCCTTAATTTATTTTCTTTTTTTTTGTGGCATTTTAAAGTTAGAGTTTTAACTGCTTTTTTGCTGGGAACTAATAACCATGGTGACAAATGGCATTAGCAAATACAAAAATCTGGTCACAGATTAATTGACTGCAGTGTCTTAACTCTTTTTATTGTTACAGATTATATTCAAAATGGACCGGAATGGTAATGGTGAAGAGATATTGCTAGATGAAGTTTTCAACTCTACAACTCGTGAATTTTCCTTGAGGAATTTTGACAAGCAACTTTTTACTGGTGCGTCTTGTAAGATATATTGTGTTTTCTCTTTTGATATGTAATGTAGCAAATAGATGCAATGGAGATATGTTGATCCATAATTTTATTTTTTGAGATGGTAATTATTTTGCGTTGACCCATCCATAAGTTTATTATTTTTTATAGAGAAATGCACTTGATCCTTTGTCTTAAACATTCTTGTGTCGATAAAAGGAATGAAAGCTAATGGGCAGGGCAGTGGCTATCTTGCTTGTATGACATTTACTTACAGTTTCTCTTTTAATAAATAATGTAGCAAATAACAGCAATGTAATATGAACATACATACATACATACATGTGTCTATGTGTGTGTGCATGTGTGCCTGTGTACGTGTATGCGTTTGTGTGTAGAGAAAGGAAATGTTGGCTATTGGGCAATGTTATGGCTCACAAGTTTGGCCACTGGCCCGGTCTTAACAACATTCATTGAGATGCATTAAGATTTCAATAGTTTGCGTCGGTAAAAATTTGTAGAAATCTGCCCCTTAGTGAAATATGCATACTCATTTGGTTGATGAGGTAAAGGAACAAAAAATAAGCACACTGTAGTGCAGCTTCAACACATAATTGTTAAGGAAGGTTTATTTTGGACATGAGAAATGATGGATGTTATGATGCTTCATTTGATGGGCAAAAGGCTTTTGAAGTAAGTTCGTTGCCATCCAAATTAGAGAAAAATTAAGTAAAATTACCTGTCATCATTGATTTAAACATTTTCAAGTTTTAGCATCACGTTGTTACGTATATAATTGAAGTCATCCACAAATATCTCAAGAAACTTATAGATTTTTCTATTATGGAATAAGTGGCTCCTAAACATTTAAATTCATAATTTCTAATGTAAAGGTAGCCTAAAATGTCCATGTTAAAGATATATGTTGTTTGTCCAATGCAATTCAATTCAATACAATAAAGAAACAAATTAGGAACAAGTAGAAACACCCTTCTTGAGTGAAAAGATTATAAAACTGATTTTTAATTCCTTATGATGAGCAATTTGGGCCTGGTGGTTAATGCATCTTCATTAGAGAGAGCCGTTGATTTCTAATGCCCACACAAGGTCTCAATAGTTATCAATAAATAAAAGTATGAAAATGGAGGCTCAATGTTAGCAAGATCTTAATAAAATATGAAGCCTCCTAGGCCCTTGACATGCTCGCCAATTTGAAGGGAAAATTCCAAAGTTAGCGATGCGGTGGTGCATTCCTCGTGATACAAGTCATTTGCTAGAATTTGTAAAGAGTTACAACCCAAAGAGTTATGGTTGCTTCATGGCCCATACAAGACTTTCTTTTTTGAGAAAGCTATAATTACTTTTTAAGTTTCTATTAGCTCCAAACCTTCAAGATGGTAGGAGAATTGAGGAAACTTGGCTTTCAAACCAAGCAGAGAAAAATATGCTTGTGGTGGCATATCTTTGACAACTTACTCATAGAGAAGAGATGAATTGTAGAGAAGTTGTGGGACTCTTTCTAACGTGGTTCTGTAAAGTGTGATTCTGCAAAGTGAAGCCCTGATCTATGTTTCTTATCTTGCATTGTGTCTTTTTGGTGAAGGCAAGCTGCCCCCCACCACCCCCAACACAAAAAAAAAAAAAGGCGAGAGGCAGGCCTTGGTCCATCTGCCTAGTTATGTCTCTGAGATATTCAAGGTTCATTCGCCCTAGGTGCCATGGCAAAAATCCTTCTTGCATGGCTAGCATGCTTTTCTGATTTGATCATACCCATTTCCTTTAAGACATTTAATTGAATGATTTGGATTAATAGCTCCACGTATTGAGTTTTACTGTGGACCCCCAAGAAATGTTCTCAATCACTTGGATTTGATATATTTTGTGGTTGATTTATAGTTGGCTTTCATGCACATGAGTTGTGTCTTACATTATATGGCAGTACGATCTATTAATTTGAGTCCCTCTAGGCCAATCCTTATTCAGTCCTATGCTCCTCAAATGTTTATTTCTATGTATCTTTCTTTCTCTTGAGTACCTAGTATTAGTCCTTTATCTGAGTGTGCTATAATGTCTGAGCATTATGTGATCTTGTTTAATGCTTAGTTTGGCTCATTGAAGGTATCCATTATTCCTTTTCTCTCTCTTTTTCCCAAACAAATGCACCGGACTATTGCCCAACTTTGGGATACGTTTCATCACTCTATAATGCAAAAAATAGAGACATGAGGAAAACCCTTATATGTTTTAATTTGTTTGATTATCTATTGATTATTTATTGAAATAAATCCATGATGGCATTACTGGGCTAAATATGCAAAATACTTTGATCTTGTGATAGGTATGTGCGTGTTGGCAGGTTGTGATTTCTTGCCTTCAGTTCCTGGCATTGGAATAAAACGTGCTCATGGCTTAGTTTCCAAGTACAGGAACTTAGATCGGGTTAGCAATCTTCTTTGATCCCAATTATCATATTCTGACTTCCTTTTTCTATTCTATTGATTAATTTTTTTTATTATTTTTATGTTTTAAAATAAATTGCCATTTCTGGGGTGTATTATCTCAACTGGGATTCAAAAGTGTCCACAACCAGCTTGCTAGTCATTGTGCTTCAAACTCTGAGAGTTAGTAGAGTAAAAGTATGAGGAGTAACATATAGCTTTAAAACAAGCGATCAATGTAGCAAAGGAAAAAAAACAAAGCTAAGCTTCATTGTTGCCACCTTGTTGGGCTGAGGTTGCACCCAAAAGAATATCCTGATTAGTTTAAGCAGTTCTCTGTGCTATTAATTTACTTTTTATATAATGAGAAAATCACATTAAACTTTGAGATAATGGTGAAACCCCCCATAAATGTCTTTTAAAGTGTTTCTAAGAATTGTAAGCCTTATTATGTGACAGAGTAACGAAGCTCTTATGCCCAAACTGGACTGAAGTTGTATAAGCAACCTAGCTGGTTTAACATAGTGATATACCGGCCAAGTGAGATACCTATATTTTAAGTTCGTAGTTCATGTATATTAGTATTGGAGTTCAAAAGTTATAGGTATCAAATCGATGTTGTTTATGAATGGCATTCAAAACTTATAGGTAACAAATCGCTGTTGTGTATGAATGGCAGTGGTAGTTTTGGTTAACTATCTGCTAGAATCATAAAATAGAAGAGTTCATCCCTACTATGATTAAAGCATCTTAAATTCAGACCAAGTTATTTCATAGCTATAATTGTTTGGTGGCCTTTTAATGTTAAGGCTTAACCTTTTGTACATTTGATTTTGGATGAAGTGGTGTCCATTGGCCAAATACATTGACGTTCATTGTGTGATGCAAAAGGCATATCCATAAATACTGTAGCAAAGGATTTAATTTCTTTTTGCCATGGATACAGGTTCTTTCCGTGATAAAGGTTGACAAGAGTGAACAAATGCCTGAAGGTTATTGCAAGTCTTTTAGAGAAGCAGTTGCTGTTTTCCATCATGCCCGAATGTAATGACACCCATGTTTTCACTGTTCTTCTCTTCGCATTTATTATGCTATTATTATTATTATTATTATTATTATTATTATTATTATTATTATTATTATTATTATTATTATTATTATTATTATTATTATTATTATTATTATTATTATTATTATTATTATTATTATTATTATCATTATTATTATTATTTTGTTGGCCCTGTTGGGGGGTGGTTTTCTTTTAATGTAGGTCTTACAATTTAACTACTTGTGACCTCTTTGGTGGACCCTATGTGAGCGTATCAGGTCCTTGCTTGAATCTTCAGGACAAGGAATCATCAAGTATTTCTTTATCTTCCGACCTCAGCTCTTGTATTGCAATTCCAGGAGAGTTCTTTGAAGTTTCGAGTGAAACAAAGTCTTGAAAATACAGGATACTGCCCCTGGGTGTTCAAAATCTCTTTGGATTTCCGATTTCGTTCCTCCACCACTCACCTTTCAAAGTTTCAGACGATCTAGGTCCTCAACAATGTACTGTCAGGCTAATGCTTATTGATTTTCTTATAATAGCACTTTGACTCAGGGGGAGGAAGGGAAGATGTTTAGAGAGAAAAGACTTCAGAGAGTAGAAGGAGGAACTCCCTTCTTTTATCTCATCGCCCCGGGTTCCTTTTGGATTTTCATCCCGGTGACATTTTTTCCAACGTTAGGGAATCCTTTCGGATTTTGAGCTCAGTGGATGAGATTTTTATTTATTTTCTCATCACTTCGGGGTTCCTTTTGGATTTTCACCCAGGTCACTTTTTCCAATGCTTGGGAATCCTTTCGGATTTTAGCTCAGCGGATGAGATTTTCTTCTTTTTTTTTTTTTGAAGAAGAAAAGAATGACAAAGGAAACTGAGGGGAAAGAAGAAGAGTCAAAGGTGCCTTTTTTTTTTTTTTAGCAATTCACCTTAATATCATGTAAGAATTCGATTATCTTTCCCTCTTCAAGTAGCAAGGAGGCTCTAATATCGGTCTTCCTCTGATTTCCCTTGACCTAGGTTGCCATCCAAAATCTCTTTGACAATGGTTGTTGAATCTCCGTTGAACGTTTCCTTTAATTTTCTCCACTTGAACCTTGATTTTGAGACTAAAAATCACTCTCAGTTTCCTAATCCCTCAGTCTTCTGTATGAACAGATAGGGTCATCAGGGTTTTCCCGTTAATGGAGTACTTGAAGTGTGAGGCATGGATGCCTCATTTGGTTATTTGCAAAAGGACGAGTGATCACCCAACTCTTTATCGGTAATATTTTTCATTGCAAATTTCGAGTTGCTTTTCTAAGGTTAACTTTGTGGTAGGCTCCTTTGCAGTGCTTGAGCTTAGGTGAGACTCTCGCATAAGAGGAGTGATTGAGTTGGTATTAGATGGGCTTACGGCATGTTGGGAGTTAACAAATGAGGGTTGAATCTCATTACTTGCCCCTATTGTATCATCTTCATGAGAGGAGTTTGCTCTTATTTAATATCTTCATGGGGTTGCTCCTGCAGGGCTTTCTATTATGTTGGGAACTTGTTCTTCATAGGATGAATTCTCTTGCTATGGTGGTGCTTTGGTTGTCAGAGTTATGCTCATGTCGTTAATAACTTGTAAGGAACTTGCCTCTTGAGGAGGTAACATCGTCGGATTTTCAATATCCAATTTTTGATCCCAGATTGGTGGATCATTCAAGAAATCTTGTGAAGGTAGCTTAGGTGGGCACCTTAGAATTTCCAAAGGTTCAACTTCTTTTGATATTTGAAAAATTGGCCCCTTGTTTGGAAGCGTAATCGGAGACTTTGGGGTGTTGACCCCTTGTTTAGAAGATGATCCCTTCTCGTTGATCTGGATCACATCAATTTCTAACATGTCGTCCTCATCATATCGATCCCACTTAGGTGGGTCGTCATGGTTTGGAGGTGAAGAACTTCCTTTTAACACTTGCTCATTTGCCCTCTGGTGAGTTATTGTCCCAGAATTAAGGTTTTTCTTGCCGTCATGGGTTTCGGAGATCATAGCTTTGAAACCTTGGTTGAGCTTATGCTCAAGTTCATATTGCTCTTGCGAGTTTGATTTGTTGCCACACACGTATGAAGCATTTATTGTGTTAACTTGGAAGTATGGGTTGAAGGGTTCATTTTCCTTAGTGTGAATCTTGATGATGGGGATTTCTTGTGCCGCTTTTGGGAGTGTATATTGGAGTGGAATTCCATATGCGATACCCCTTTCTATTCCCCTTTCTTCGGTTATGGGCTTTGAGCTAAGATCATCCTCACTGCTTTGATCTTGAATATCCTTAGTCATTAAATCCTAGGTGAGGCTATGCTCATTTTGTTCTTCATCTACTGTACTTTCCAGTTGATTTATTCTTGTGCTCTAAGGCCTTTATGGATGTTCTTCGGGTTTGGGCACAACTTGTGATTCTCTTGAGTTAATCAGGTTGGCATCAGTATTCTTTATCGAGACATCTAGAGTTTCTGATTCTTCTTTGCCATCAATATCTTCCTTTTTGACACTTATCATGCCATTATCAATGAGATCTTGAACTCTATGTCTGAAAGCTCTATATTTCTCAATGCTATGGGCACAGTTTTGATGCTAATCGCACCATTGAGATGAATCGCCTCCATGGGAAGGAGGAATCTTGGTTTCTGCCGGTATTTCTATGAGCCTTGCCTTAAGAAACTTCTTAAGGACATCGGTCATAAGCTCATCAATGGGAGTGAATTCCCTTGGTATGGAAGTCTGCATTTTAGTCCTTTCTTGTGAATGGTTTGCAGAAGGGTTTCTTTTCTTGATCATGTTCACCTCTCCTTCTTGAGGGGGTTTTTCGACTGCGGCTTTATCTTTCTTGGTTCGCTTGTATCGTGATATTCTTTCAAGCATAACAACAAACGAGTTAGGAATTGCACCCATACTGAAGAACGTGACATATTCTGGAGTCATGTTCTCTAATTCCATGCTTACCTTCGCAGCTTCAGGGAGTGGGGTTTCAATAACGCGCATAGCGGTCTCTTTGAATCTGATTATAAAATTAGAAGGAGACTCGTCCGACTTTTGTTTGGTGAAAGCTAACACACCAAGGATGACAGGTCTTAGCCTTCCTCCACGATAGCGGGAGGAAAATTTCCTGAACATTTCGTCGGGAGTTGCTTGAGGGTCATCCTTAATGAATCTTCGGTACCACATCAAGGGTTCTTCTAATAAGCTATGCGAGAACATGACCTTAAGTTGGTTGGGTCGGTCTCGCAGTGTGTGGACTGTCAATAAGTAGGAGTTGATGTGTGCCTCATGATCCTCTTTCCTTGAAAATCTGTTTCTGAACTGTAGCATCACAAACCCCATCGGTAAATCTTCTAGATGTCCTAGAATTTCTTGTACATAATCCTTAGGAGTTGAGAAATCCCATATTCCCATTTTCTCTAAAGAGTCTTGGAGGCGTTTCGTACGAGCGAATTGAGCCGTCGTTATAGTTGTGAGTTGGCTTGGTTGTGTGGTCTGTTGAACCTAACTTTGTGGTATGTGGCTCGTATAAACTGGCTGTTGGGCACATGTAGCGGCTTGCCCCAAGGATTGAGCTTGAGGAGTTTATTGAATTTGGCATGCCAGTTGTCAGCCTATAAACTCACCCGATTTGAATTGGGTTAGAGCATACCCATTACTCGGAGGTTGCACAACTTGTCTAGGCAAGAAGGTCTGCGTGAGAGGATCACCACTCGAACTGCTATGATGACTAGACCTCTGACCTTGGGCGGCTAGATCTACCTGACCCTGACCTTGATTGGATGATCTATCCCTAGGGTTAGGGTATTCTCTTGCCTCAGCACTGGACTGAAAGAGTGAAGGAATGCCATAGCTACCTCCTGATGGAGTCTGCCCTCAAGTTAGACTTGGGCTTGGTTGATGGCTAGAATTAGACCTCTGGTTTGTAGTGGGTTGGACTGGTAGGCTAACAGCCCTGGGATTATCCCGGTTTGAGCCAAAAATGTTGGACTTGACTTATGGCTTGAACTTCTGACCTGACTTTCCTGGATTGAATGCGCTATCCTCTATTGAGTAGGACTTGAAAGTAAGCATGCACCTTAGAATTGTTTTTATATCGAGTTAGGTCAAAACCCTAATCTTTACTGGTGATGGGTTGCTTGGGTAGATTTTCCTTAGTTGTATGTGAACCCACTCACCCACTAACTGGCTGATTGCTAAGACTTGAATGTTGGGCTGCTAATTAACCATCGGGGTTCACACGGGTGAGATCGGTTGACTCAGAGATTTGGGCGAGGGCCTTATTCTTGTTGTGCCGACTGAATTTGAGGTTAACCCCTATGTCTTGGAGGATTGCCTCCGGCTTGACCCCTTGACTATTCAAGGTGTTATGAACCTTATCAACCTGTTGGCTAGTGACTTTTAAAGGGTGGCCTTGAAGGCAGCTTGGACGGCTAGGTTTGGTTCCATGCGGGTCGAGAGTCGGCTCATTGACATGAGTGTTATGGATAATTTATGAGGGAGCACTATGACGGTGCCTCTCAGACTGACTAGGTTCTTTGGATCTAGACTGAGCTGGGGCCATAGGGTTGGACCTTGCTCTGCTATGATCTTGGGTCATGATTCCTAGACTCGGTAAGACTTAGACTCGATACCTCAGGGAAGACCTAGTCTGACTCTAGGGTAAAACTCTAACAAAGACCTAGGCTAGAACCTAGACTGGATGAAATCTGCTAAACTCTATGGATTTCGATTTGGGCCTTGAACTAGGGTAAGCCTAGTCTAGCTCTAGAAGCAATTCCTAAGCTAAGACCTATGCAAACACTTAGAATGAGATCTAGACTAGATGGGTACGAGTCTCAGCTCGGACCAAGAGTGGGTCTGGGTTCGAACCTAGGTGTGAGCCTGGTTCGGACCTGGACTGAGCTAGGTTCAAGCTTGGGCTTGGACCAAGACGGTTTTGAAGATCAGACCGGGTGTGAACCCAGACTGGAACAAGGTTGAGTTAGGCATGAGCCCTTGGCT